AAAAGAAAAAAAAAGATCACCTCGTTGTAATTTTGAAACGCTCTGATACCATAAACAAACGAGAGCAAAGATGGGAAAATTGTGTCATGTATTATTAACTATATAACAACTATATAAAGAATCCATATAAGACCTAGAAAATATAAAGACTATTTACAAATTCTTAAGGATAAGAAAGTACAAAAATAGAATTCTACAATAGTAAGGAGTCTCATCCGTTATTAGGGAGATACATGCATCAAAACAACATTGCCTTTACAAAAAAGAATGAAACAACACATTGAAAACTTGAAGTATTCCTTCTTCTTTACAGATTTAATACCATTTTACGTAATGAATATTGTTAGTTTTTAAAGATCCAATTATATATGGTTCTTTTCATAAAAAATCTAAAGAGGAGATTATAATGGATCCAATCGGATATCAAGATCCAACCTTTTCATAGATCTACCGACTCATTTTCAATAGCGGTCCTGATATCGTGTCACGATATGTCATTTTCAAGAAATAAAGTACTAAGTCCGCAGTCTCCTTATTTGTTACTATTTATCAAGTACTTCTGTAAATTTGTATTTTGTCCCTATTCACAACTTCTAGTAGAAAATGGTAGTCTTGATCTATGGGAAATTTATATTTTCCCGATCCTGTTGCTCCCATAACTATCACCACCTCTTTAGGGGATTTACACTCAAAGCATATTCGCCTTAGAGGCTTTCATGGGGTCTTTCACTCCATAGTAAGACCCAATATTGCTTAGACTCGGGTGCAGACGTCGAATAAAGATGCATATCTAAAGTTTAGATCCTTTATGATTAAATTTTTCTTATACATTTCCATATAGATCCTTGTTTGGATAAGGGTGAGGTAATTCATCTAAAACTAACTCAAGTATCTACAATAGAGTTACGAAAAAATTATGAGTTATTATGCAAATCGAAGTTGAAAGTTTTGGGGAACAGAACAATATTCTCACCAAAAACCACAAACATTTAGCCTCGAACATTTACTCTTGTCGTCCATTGGAGCTTCGCTTGAGCTCATCTTGTGATGGTGGTGAATTCCTCTTGCTCATTGCTCTGGAAAAAGGTAAACTCTTCCCGTTGTTGTTTTTTCTTGTCAACTATGCTTGTAAATATGTTATTTGCTTAGTTGTAGATTAGATTTATTCCTACTTACATTCTTTAATGATTTCATTCTATCATTTCGGTTATAGAGTAATTTATTATTTTTCTAGTATGATTTAATTATGTTTCTCTCGTTGTTATGAATAATTCAATGTGTCTTGTTTCATGTTTAATATTTTTTTTGAAGTTGTTTTGATCATAGCTTGGTCCTTATTTCTTTTAATATGATATAATATAATCTTGCTCTAGGTGGGTTTAGATTCTAGATTATAGTATGTCTATTTTAATGTCCTTTTGAAGAATTTCTTTCCTCAAAGACTTAGTGAAGATATCTTCTACTTGGTCTTGACTCTTTCTATGTTCTTTCTTCTCCCGTGAAACACAGGAATTTTAGACAGTTTGATAGCTGAGCTATTGTCACAATACATGGGAGTTGCATAAGCCTACTTGCAGTTAACTTCCTCAAAAAAATTTCTAAGCCAGATGGCTTGACTAGCACATATTGTTGCAGCAATAAACTCTGATTCTATGGTAGACAAAGTTATAATGGGCTACTTCTTCGATGACATGAAATGACATTTGATACCAACATAAAAAAGGAAACCGATACTACTCTTTCTACCATCTCGATCTCTGGCACAATAACTATTTGTAAACCCCATCATCAGTGGACTGCCTTCCATTTTACAGAGCCCCATTATGCCTTGCAAATAGCTTAAAATGCGCTTAGCAGCTAGGAGGTGAGATTGTTTAGGATTGTCAATGTATCTACTAATAAAGTTGACAACATTCATTATGTCTGGCTGAGTTGTTGTGAGACACATCCAACTTCCTACTGATTGCTTATAGTAGGTTCGATCTACAACCTGACCATCTAAATCCTTATCTAACTTCAAGCTAGGATCAACTGGTGACAAACCGGTTTGAACTTCTCCATCTTAAACTTGAGCAACAAATCTTGAACATATTTCCTTTGAGAAATGAAGAACCCATCACTAGATTGGATAATCATTAATCCCAGAAAGTAATGCATTCTTCCTAAAACAGTCATATCAAAATCCTTCATCATGGATTCCTAAAGTTGCATAAACGTAGTCTCATAGCTTCAAATAAAAATTAGATCATCAACATATAGGCAGACGATAAGAATATCACCTTTATTATACTTGATGTAAAGAGTCTGCACATATGGACTTTTTCTGAAAACCTTCCTCCATCAAATAAGCATCATGCAACTGTATCAAGCTCTTGACGCTTGTTTCAATCCATATAATTCCTCTTTCAATCTATACACCTTATTCTTGATGTACCATGGTGTCATGGTGTTTTCAATGCTTTTTCCTTAAAGAGTTGTGTGAGTATATATCCTTTTTTGTAGTAGTTTTTAACATGTCTTTATGTTTGTTTTGCATGAAAGATGTTAAGGAATAAAACACAGAAGGTAGATGAAATAAAGTGCAGAAGTGACCCACAAAGGCCATCGACGGTCCATAAATTGTGGAAGTTGACAGAAGTACAGGAACTTGGAGAAAACTCGGGGAAATATGACCAAGTGTGGGGCTACAGAGAGGATCGATGGTCCATTGATTGATCGACGAACCATCCTGTTCAAGCGTTGATGAGATCAGAGATAGTCTAGTACCCGAAGTTGGAAAAATATAAGAATGGAGCAACAGAAGGCATCAAATAACCGTAAACTCATTGATGGACCATGATGTCGGTCCATCAATTGATTCAGAGAGGACGTAATCTTAAGGACAAAAATGATTCTATGTGTGGACTGACGGAGACAAATAATGGTCTGTCTGTGGGGGTCGTCGATTACAACTGCATTTTTGGACAACTTTCCTTATTTTAATTCCTTTTAATTTAGGACAATTTTTTTCTATAAATAGGGTTTAAAACCTCATTTTTAGGGCTAGACATTGTTTCTTTTGATCTACTTTGTGTTTGGGGATTGGGTTTTTCAAACATTAGCATTAATTCAATTTCCGGATGTGGTTTTCAAGGCTTTCTTGCTAATTCAAGTTGATTTTCTAGATTTTATTCTAATTGTCAAAGTAAGTTCATGATTTCATTCTTAATAACTATTAATTGTGACTTATTAGCATGGTAACTAAATCCACAACTAGGTTTTTGGGAACCATGGGTTATTAACAAGGTAATCCTAGCTAAATAACAATTCTCAAATATGATCTTGCATGTATTGATAATTCTTACATTCAAAAGTCTTTTTAACAATTGCTAATGTTAGAACTCGCCTTGTTGCTACTTGCCAGACCAAGGAGGTAGTTATTAAGAAAAGAATTATCAACATAGATTTAGTGGGATACTAGGTAATAGGCTAGTGTTGATTGGTGTGAAGTAACAACTAAGCTATACATCAACTATGATGCTTAATATGATGTAAAGGTAAGGGTTAGTAGTGTATAGCGGACAAAGGTGTGGGTTGAAATTCTCTAAATGCTGGACAAAATATTTAGAGATACCTAACTCATCACTTTGCATGAAAATCAACAGGGAAGAATTGTTATAGCTAGGAATACAACGTTATGATGCAACGGGGAACACTTACACCTTAGTTTCTCTTATAAATTATAAAAACTAAGTCTTTGCTTTTATTTACTCATTTTTCTTAAAATAGTTTATGAAGATTTGTTTCATAACCCCCCCTTTAATTACGTGCTTTTGGAAAGAAGATAACGAAATACCAATAATCACCCATTAAAGTAAAGTCTAAATCATTTTCCTCGTGGGATCGACGTCAACCTACTAGTTGAGTTCTTTACTTTATACGACTACTTACAGTTCCTTAGGGAGGTGTAATTTTAGTGTGTCAAATTCTGGTGCCGCTGTTGGGGAAAGTGACTTTTAGATTAACTTTAGCAACAATATTAAAGTTCAGTAAAAAATTTCCTAATTTTACTTTTGTTTTGTTTTGTTTCTTTCAGTTATGGTTCTGGTGTATGCCAAGTAAACGGAGCCAACATGAGACACTCAACCCATTTCATCCAGATTTAAACCGTACTTTAAGGAGAATGAACAATCAATAGAACCCTAATAACCTAAGTGATGGGGCACTTCGTCATGCGCTTCTGTCGGTTAATGTTCATAACAAAGTAGTTATGGACAACCCAACTCATAATGCTCTGAGGATGCAATCTCTAGCCCCACGAACTCAAGAGTTCTATAGGGTTAACATGAACATCACTGAGTCTGATGGACCCTTTGTCCTACCTCGTCTACCCCATGGGCAAAAATTCGGGGTGATGAGTAGTTTGATACAGATTCTAACCGTAGAGGATTTGTTCTCAGGACTACCATTAGAGGATCCTCATGCCCATATAGCTAAATTCAGTTTCATAGGTTGGCAAGATTTGTATATGAACGTCATCGGGTTGCAGGTGTTTCCGCTATCATTGACGAGAGAAGCAATAGTATGTTTACTGAGCTACCCTATTATTCCATCTACACATGGAATCAGTTGGGAGATGTATTCCTTGCTAAGTACTATCCAATTTCCAAGAAGTTTAATCACAAGGATAAGGTGAACAACATTGTGGCACTACTTGGAGAGTTGGTAAGTAGCTCTTCGGATAGATTTATTGCATTTTCGAGGAGTTTCCCAAACCATCACTTTGATGATGTATCATTGAAAGAGTACTTCTATCAGGGTCAAAATGATCACAATAAAGTAGTTATTGATATTATTGCGGGGGTTTCTTATGGAGAGTGCACTAATGCCGAGATCACAGATAAGTTGGAGAAAATTTCTCGCAATAATTAGTCTTGGAGTACGAGAAAGACAAACACTGGGATAAACACCTTCACAGTGCAAGCTACACATAATTTGGGACAAATGAGATTCGTTAGGAGATGGCTGAAAGGAGAATTCAGCTTGTGTTAGTACTGAATCATGTCACTGGAGGTACAGAGAAGGTAAATGCGGTGAATTACTTGACTAAACCACCTCCCCCAGCGGATGAGTATTATTATAAAGAGGATACTTATGAAGTGAATGATGAGACGGGGGGTTCCTGCCCAAACACCCTAGGCTACAATTAGGAGAATTGGCAAGGTCAAGGAAATCAAGGTCAGAACTCTGGTAACTATGATAGAGAGGGCCAGTATGTTTGAGATGGAAAGTTCAACCGGGATAACAACTTCAATCGGGGTAAGTATGGTAACAGAAATGATCGGAGTGAGACCTATGTACCACCTCAAAAATTGGGAAGTTTCTCCTAGGGATAGTGGAGGTAATTTGGCGTGAGTTGAGGATATGTTACAGAAGATAATGAGGAGGTTTGATGCTAGTGATGAGAAACTAAGGAATTGCGAGGTGATTTAGAAAACATTGGGCAAAAGGTGGATGCACATGCACTTTCGATTAAGCATCCTGAATTACGACTGGTCAAACTGTCCACTATTGCGTACCCATGCCAACCGGGCTCTCTTCCTAAAAATACCATCTGAAAATCCTAAAACTGATGGACATTGCATGACAGTCGCTACTCGAGGAGGTAAGCAAACTGTTGATCCACCTATACCATCTGTGGTAGAAGATGAGATGAGAAAAGACAAAGAGGTGGTGGAAACTAGTGATGAATTGGTGGACAAAATGATGAAAGAAATAGAGGTACCTCAGAAATTGGTCCCTTTTCGTAGACCTCCACCACCATTCCCTCAAAGATTGGTGAAGAATACTGAGGATGGTAACTACCGACGTTTTATCACTATGTTGAAACAATTTTGCATCATTGTCCCTTTGATAGAAGCTTTGGAACAAATGCCTAGTTATGCTAAATTTATGAAGGATATGGTTAAAAAGAAGAGACCAATATGTTTTGAGGATGATGACCGAATGCAGCATTGTAGTAATATTTCTACAAGGTCTCTTTTATAGAAAAAGGAAGATCCGATCTCTTTTATTATTTTATATACCATAGGATTATTACACTTTTCTAAAGCACTATGTGAACTAGGTGTAAGCATACACCTCATGCCTCTTTCAATTTATAAAAAATTGGGTTTGGGTTACCCAAAGCCTACTGCAATGCGATTACTGATGGCCGATCGAACAGTGAAGAAGCCCATTGGGATACTCCATGATGTGCTCGTAAAAGAGGAGTCATTTATATCTCCAGCTGATTTTGTGATTCATGAATTTTAGGTGGAGTTTGAGGTTCCTATCATTCTTGGAAGGTTGTTCCGTTCCACTGGTCATGCCTTTGTTGCTATGGAGAAAGGGAAGATGAAGTTTAGGTTGAACAATGAAGGAGCAACATTCAATATTTGTAGGCCAATGAAGCAGAGTGATGAACTCCAAATGGTATCTGCTATATCCTATTAGGTTGAGAGTGTGTCTGAGGTGAAAATTGAAGAACACTTAGGTGTCGAGGCACTACAGGCAATGATCATGAATTTTGCAAGTGATGGTATTGAAGAGTATAGGTCATTGGTTGCGACACTTGAGCGAAATGAATATTGGTCCAAAATAAAGAAATTTGAGTTAGAATATAAAGCATCGTGAGTCTCCATCCGCCAGACCATCTATTGAGGAGGCTCTAAAATTAGAGAATAAGGCTCTACCACCTCATATGACGTACGTATTCTTGGGTAGGGATGACACTTTATTGGTAATTATTGAAGCAGATTTGAATGTGCAACAAGCAAAGTGTCTAGTGGAAGTTCTGAAAAGGTTTAAACGAGCCATTGGTTGGACTATTGTGGACATTATTGGGATTCCTCCCTGTATTTGTTCACACAAAATCCAACGCATGCCCGATCAAGAGCCATGTATTGAGCATCAAAGACAGTTGAATCCACCTCTGCAAGAGGTAGTAAAGAAGGAGATCATTAATTGGTTGGATGCCGACGTCATATATCCTATTGCATATAGTAGTTGGATATGCCCTATTTAATGTGTTTCCAAAAAAGAAGGGAATGACACTAGTTCCTTATTAGAGGAATGAGTTTTTTCCAATGAGGCTGGTGACTAGATGGAGAGTTTCTATGGATTACTAGAAGTTGAATTCATGGACTTACAAGGACCATTTCCCTATGCCCTTTATGAATCAGATGTTGGATAGAATTGCAGGAAAATGATGGTATTATTTTATTGATGGGCATTCAAATTACAATCAAATATCAATTACCCAGGAGGATCAAGAGAAGACTACTTTTACTTGCCTTTATGGGACGTTCACCTTTAAGAGAATGCCTTTTGTGTTGTATAATAAACCGTCCACCTTCTAGCGATGTATGATATTAATATTCTCCAATATGGTGGAGGATACTATTGAGGTTTTCATGGATGACTTTTCGGTCGTGGGCAACTCCTTTTATCGATGTTTGATTCACTTGGCCAAGGTTCTCAAAAGGTCTGAAGCATGTAATCTTGTGCTTATTTGGAAAAAATGTCACTTTATGGTGAAAGAAGATATAGTATTGAGCCATTTCATCTCAGGGAAGGGGATAGAGGTTGATCAAGCGAAAGTTGAAGTTATAAAGAGAATCCCGCACCCATCTCTATAAAAGGTGTCACAAAATTTTTTGGACATGCGAGCATCTACCGGAGGTTTATTAAGGATTTCTCAAAAATTGAACATCCTTTGTGAAAATTACTCGAGAAGGAATGCAAATTCTATTTTGATGAAGCCTATCTGAAAGAATTTGGAGAGTTGAAGGAGAAGTTGGTGTCAGCGCCCATCATTAATTCCCTATATTGGAGTGAGAGATTTGAGGTGATATGTGATGCTAGTAGTGTTGAACTTTATGTTGTATTGGGACAGAGAAGGTATAAAATCCTTCACCCTATTTAATATGAAAGTAAGGCCCTGAATAAAGCTGAAAAGATTTAGAGGGAAACTGAACACGAGAATCTTGCAGTGATATTTGCATTCTAAAAATTTCGCACCTATTTGCTTGGAACGAAGGTCATATTGCATACTAACCACTCCGCTTTGAGGTGCTTCATGGAAAAGAAGAATGTGAAGACACGGTTGATTAGATGAGTTCTATTATTTCAAGAGTTAGATTTTGAGGTAAAATATAGAAAAAAGTACTAAAATCAAGTTGCCGATAACTTGTATAGCTTAGAGGATAAATCTATGCACGAATTGGGTGACTATACTGAAACTGATGAAACTGCATGTATTGGCTGCTTCTCATGATTTAATTCCATGGTTTACTTATTTGGTGAGTTATTTGGCTAATGATATTGTCCCATCCGACTTATCCTTCCATGATAGGAAGAAGTTTATACATGATGTGAAAAAGTTCTTTTGGAATGAGCCTTACTTATGCCTGAGTTTTGCTGATGGGATTGTTCACCGTTGTGTGCTAGAAGTTGAGATGTTAAATGTTTTGGAGACATGTCACTCCTCCCTGTGGGTAGGCGCCATAGTGGTGTCCAGATTGTACACAAGATTTTTTAATGTCGGTACTATTGGCAAACCCTTCACCAAGATGATCACAAGTTTGCCAAGTCATGTGATAGGTGCCAAAGAGATGAAGAAATTTCGAAGAGGCAAGAGCTCTCTCTAAATCCTATTTTGGTGATTTAGTTATTTGATGTTTAGGGCATTGATTTTATGCGGTCGTTTGTGAGTTCTTATGGGATGAAGTATATACTTGGCGGTGGACTATGTGTCAAAATGGGTGGAACCTATAATGCTTTCTAACAATGAAGGGAAGAGTGTCACCGCATTCTTTAAAAAGAACATCTTCTCAAGATTTTGCACAACTAGGGCCATTATTAGTTATTGTGGATCTCAATTTTGCAATAAGTTGTTCAAAAGGCTATTAAAGAAATATGGGGTTCGCCATAATGTGACCACTCCTTATCATCATCAGACGAGTACGCAAGTAGAGGTGTCAAATTGATAAATCAAGAAAATTCTATCAAAAATGTTGAATCCTAATAGAAAAGATTGGTTAAGGAGGCTTGATTATGCTATTTTGGCCTAGTGGACTGCATATAAGACTCCCATAGGTATGTCTCCGTACAAAATTATTTAATGCACCAGCTACTTTACAGATATGTATGATGTCGATATTATTCGATATGGTGGAGGACACTATTGAGGTGATTATGGATGATTTTTCAATTGTTTGCGACTTCGTTGATCGGTGTTTGAGTCATTTGGCCGAGGTTCTTAAAAAATGTGAAAAGTGCAATCTTGTGCTAAACTGGTAAAAATTCCACTTTGTGGTGAAAGAAGGTTTTGTATTGGGTCATCGCATCTCAGAGAAGGGGATACAGGTTGATCGAGCAAAAGTTCAGGTTATAGAGAGACCTTCTCCACCCATCTCTGTAAAATGTGTGAAAAGTTTTCTCACACACGGAGGCTTCTACTAGAGGTTTATTAAGGATTTCTTAAAAATTACATCTCCTCTGTGCATGTTACTTGAGAAGGAATGTGAATTCTATTTTGATGAATCTTGTCTTAAGGAGTTTGGAGAGTTAAAAGAGAACTTGGTGTCTGCACCCGTAGTTACTTCCCAGATTGGAGCAAACCATTTGAGGTGATGTGTGATGCTAGTGGGGTTGCTCTTTGTGTTGTATTTGGACAAAGAAGGGATAAAATACTTCACCCGATCTATTATGCAAGTAAGACCCTAAATGAATCACAAAAGAATTACACTGTAACTGAACAAGAGCTCCATACAGTAGTATTTGCATTTGAAAAATTTCGCTCCTATTCGTTTGGCACGAAAGTCATAATGCATACTCATCACTACACTTTGAGGTATTTGATGGCGAAGAAGGATGCGAAAACAAGGTTGATTAGACGGGTGCTACTATTGCAAGATGTTGATTTTAAGGTGAAAGATAGAAAAGGGAGTGAAAATCAAGTTGTCGATCACTTGTCCAGATTGGAGGATAAAGCTATGCAAGAGTTAGGTGAAAAGGCTGAAATTGATGATACCTTCACTGATGAGCATGTATTGGCCTCTTCTAATGATTTGATTCCATGGTTTTCTTATTTGAGGAATTACCTGGCCATTGATATAGTCCCATCGAACATGTCCTTCCATTAGAGGAAAAAGTTCACGCATGATGTGAAAAATTTCTTTTGGGATGAGCCTTACTTTTATCGGAGTTGTGATGACGGGCTTATTCGTCGTTGCGTGCCGAAAAATGAGATGTTAAGTGTTTTGGAGGCATTCCACTCCTTGCCTGTGGGTGGACATCATAGCGGTATTTGGACTGCCGACAAGATTTTGCAGTTTGGGTACCATTGAAAAACTATTCACCAAGATGCTCATGAGTTCTCCAAGTCATTTGATATGTGCCAAAGGGATGAAGCAATTTCAAAAAGGCAAGAGCTCCCTTTAAATTCCATTATAGTGATTGACTTGTTTGATGTATGGGGCATTGATTTTATGGGCCCGTTTGTGAGTTCTCGTAGGATGAAATATATTCTTTTGGTGGTAGAATATGTGTTAAAATGGGTAGAAGTCATAGCACTTGACAACAATGAAGGTAAGAGTGTCACCATGTTCTTGAAAAAGAACATCTTCTCAAGATTTGGCACACCTAGGTCCATTATTAGTATTGGAGGTTCTCACTTTTGAAACAAGTTATTTAAAAGGATATCATAGAAACATGGGCTTCGCCACAATGTGAGAACTCAATACCTTCCACAGGCTAGTGGGTAAGTTGAGGTGTCCAATCGAGAGATAAAGCAAAATCCTATTAAAAACGGTAAATGCAAATAGAACAGATTGGTCAAGGAGGCTTGATGATGCTCTTTGGGCCTACCGGTTTGCATACAAGACTCACATAGGTATGTCTCCATACCAACTTGTATATGGGAAGGCTTGTCATTTGCCAGTTGAGTAAGAACACAAGGCCAAGTGGGCGATGAAGAAACTAAAGATTTATTTGAATGAAGCAGTGGAGAAGAGACATAATGGGTTGAATGAGCTTGATGAGTTTCACAGAAAAGCATATGAAAGTTCAGCCATTTATAAAGAGAAGATGAAGAAGTACCATGACCAAAATATTGAAAGGCGAGAATTTGCGGTTAGGGACTTGTAATGTCTATTCAACTCTAGGCTACGCTTGTTTCCTGGAAAACTCAAATCCAAGTGGGCGGGACCTTTCCTTATCACTAAAGTGTATCAACATGGAGCGGTTGAGTTTGAGAATAAGGAGGGTGCAAAGTTCACATTCAACGGGCAAAGGATCAAGATCTACCTTGGCATGCGGAGAGTGTCCATGAAGTGATTGAGGCATATCACCTTGATGAAGTCTAAGTAATCAAGGATTTTGCGTTGTGCCGCGATGTTATATCAAGCATTTCTTGGAGTCGACTCATGATGTACCCTTTAGCCAACCATTAG